CGCAACTTATCCATAAAACTCACCTTTTTAACAGCTCTTAAGGGACATAAAGGACCATTACTGCCGTTTTCCCGTTCAAAATATTCTAATAAAGTTACGATGAGTTTTTTACGGCTATTAAGGTATCTTACACTTAAACTAAAACTTAACATAAGAGAGGTTCTAAAAAGAACAATGTTTTACTGCAAGGTCTTCTAGTAAATATTTTTAAGCTTAAAGTATCACAACACTATTTATTTAAACCAAAAACTCGTAATACAAAACTAAAGTGTCAAACCGAATGACAATGTCAGGAAATAAATAAATAACTGTGGCAACTTGACAGTAGACGCTACCACCTGAATCCCTAGCTGGAAATTTAAATTTCAGTTAGTCAGCCGGGCGCCCAATTCATGGTTGGCAACAATGAATTTAAAAATCGCGCCCTCGATGACGTATTTAAAAGTTTATTTGGTATCAATATAGTTAATAAAACTGCTGTTAACATTTCGCCAGAGAAGAAATAATATAGTATTTAATATCCTGCAATATTAGTCTGGAAGTTACTCATATTTTTGTTGAAATTCGAGAGAAAATAAACAACAATTAGGTTTTCCTTTGAAATAACCCACTTCCACTGTTAAATATCCGTTTATTTATTTTACTGAGATCCTATAAATATACTATAAATAGTTTTAGTTAGCCAAAGCGTTCGTAAAAAGATGTTGATTTTTATTTTACCAGAAACCAGTCAAAACGTTTTTTTATTGGAAACTGAAATATTTTATTGAAAACCTAAATTGCCACTTATTTTGAGAACGTAATAACCACATGAACTATAAGAATATTTAAAAAGAGATTGATATGTTTGAATGTTAACGTTTCCTGACCGCTATTTTCAAACAAACAGGATTTATTATCATCATGAAATGATTGGCATGTTTCAGAAAATGTTTACTTTTATTAGTGTATGTACAGGGTTTCCTATTTTCTTGTGTTTTACATTTTTCCTAAATATTTCTCTATAAAACTAAAGATACTACACACAGATTTGTCCTAGCCCTCTTAGTTCTTGAAATACAGGGTGAATTCGGAATTTTTTTTCCTCCCCTCGTTTCTCGATTACCCTATAGCTTATTGAAAAGGAGAAAACTGAGTTCCGTAGAGGTTTTCACGTAGAATCCAGGGGATTAACTATTTTTTCACTGGAATCTGTCATTTTCACACTATCACTAAAACTTTGATGGTTTTTTTTATTAAATGGGGCACCCTGTATATTGTTATTGTTATTTTATTTGTCTTGTTCTGAGCTTCTTAAAATATAATTTACCCTATACTACTTTTCTCATAAATACGGCAAAAATGCATTATTTATCTTTTGATTAGTTTAAAATTGTATCTTTTATTTATAAATAATTTAATTTAATTTAACCATTATAATTTTGTTTTCCGTCGTCCTATCTTAATAAACTGCACTGGAAATTAATTTGTGCAGCTTTTAGATAACACGCTGTCAATCAGAGTTATTTATGTTTTTGATGCATTTCTGCAATAATTTCACTCACAGCTCTTTCAACTAGCTTGGAATAGCCAATAACCAAAACATCGAAAGAAATATTAAATTGTGTTGATTTAATCCGGCTGCCTATGTTAAATAATGCATTTTTTACCTTGTTTAGAAAAATAAATATAGGGTATATTATATTTTTAAGAAGTTTATAACACGGAAGTTCATATCCGCTCTGAAAATACAACGCTTTATTATTTTTTGTATTTAGGCAGAAAATTAAAATATATATTAAACGCTGTATTAATAATATGGATAAAAATTAAAATAGCAAAACAAATTGCATACTCTCAAAAATATGTTACAGGTTTGAAAATATGTTTTTTTTAGATTGCTTTTAAAAAATCTGTTTTTATTATATTATTTAGTGCCATCTAGCGGCGTTTTTCTGAAGCTAATATAATTGATCGCGTATTATCTATAATTAACTTCTCGTCGTTCAACTAGCTTCGGCTAGATGCCTCTAGCAACGTATAAAATCAAGAAAATACAGTATGATTCAAAATTCTATGACCTGGAGTTTTTATTTTTTTAGTGATCACTTGTGTTAAAATATATTTTAAATATATTATTATCTAGTATTTTTTTGAGAAATAATATCGTTGATTGAAAAAAATCAATATCAAAATTATGACATAAGTAATAAAATTGGAAAAACGGAGTGATATAAATCTATACGGCAGTATGTCGCAACTTAAGTTTGACGTAGAATTTTTCTAGAAAAACGATTATTACATTGATTGGCACTGTTAATTAGCAGATAACCATTTTTCCTGAAAATAGTTAATAGAAAGTTAGTAGTATTAATATAGAACCAGGTTTATAATATAATCTATTAAAAACAGGGTTGAAAAAAACATGTTTTTAGTTTTTAGCCGACCATACCAATAGGTACGGTAGGCTATTAAGATCGGCAAAAAAATATTTTTTAATTTTACTCAAAACGAGTTATTTGGGTCATAAATGACCTAAATACAAAATATTTTCATGGTGTCTGTCTGTCTGTCTGTCCGTCTGTCCGGCGTCTGTAACACGATAACTCAAAAACCGCTAAACCGATTTTAACCAAATTTGGCACAAAAATACTGTGGCACCCGAGAATCTGGCCATTAGTTTTTGGTGGGTGTGGGGGGTTGGCAAGAGGGTATGGGAGGGGGTTAAAAATTTTAAAAAATCGTAACTCCAAAATTACAGTAGCTAGCGAAACGCGGTTTTCAATTTAAGATTAGGAATAATATTTGCAACAAAATTTGTAATAACATCAAAATCAGTCAAAGTCGCAGTTTTTGAGTTAAAAAAATTATCAAGTATGGGCGGCTATACGTGCCTCCCAGCGCCATTTTTTTTATTTTTAAATCAAACATGTGTTTCTTATGGTTTCAAACAATTTTTATTATTGTCAATGATACAACAGTAATTTAAAAAAAAAATTAATTTAATTGTAAAAACCCAGTTAAATGAATAAATATAGTTTTAGGTAATAACTAGAAATGTGAAAATATTCGTCAGCTGATTGCCCATTGGAGGAAAAGCCGTCAGTCAGACAATGGATTTTCCGCGCGTTGTGCATTTTTCTCTGGCTGACGGTCTTAAGCCGGGACCATATTAGGCCACACGCCACGCCACGCCACGCCACGCTAACCCACGTGGGTCCACGTGGGTCCACGTGTTGCGACGTGGGAAAGAGTGTACACATGAGATCTGGGACAGATGACACACGTGGGATGGCATGTACGCAATACATGTAATTAAATGGAAAAACATACGCAGAGATCTTCATGACGTGGGGTAGCATGGCGTGGCGTGGCGTACCGTGTTGGCTAATGGGGTTCCGCCATTACCCCCACTAGACACGCAGATGACTGTCATTATTATATTTCTACATAAGTACGAAATCTTGTATAAAAGTCTCAAATTTGGTATTCAAAAATTGAAATGTGTTACCTGTCTTTTCAAGAAATGTTTGACCAATCCTAGTCTGATGTGCAAAGGCGGCAAGTAGATATTTTCCATCAGGACCAAAAGATCCTGACCGAGAGTAAACCTTTCTTACAAACTTTGTTATACAAATTTATGTCTGTCTCTATATACAGGGTGTCTCAGATTTTAATCGGGAAAATTTAATAGACGATAGAACTTGCAAAAATAAAACAAAAAGTTCATATCAACTTGTAAGATTTAAAGCTTCCTTTTTGAGATACAGGGTGTTAAAGTTACTTAAAAAAGAAAAAACAGTATTTAATCGATTTTGATATAACTTGGCCCGTTTATAATACTTACTATGGGACTTAATTTGATGTAATTAGATTTAAGTTTAATGGTCAGGGGCGGCGGTGGGGCATCACTGTTAAATTATTTTAAAGGAAGAGATAGGCACGCCACTGCTTTTTTAGAAGTTTAATATTATTTTTGGATTTATTATATTATTTTTTGTCTCCTGACTTTTTTGTCTATAACCTAACCATTATTATTTAATTTATTGTCCAGGGTAGAGTGAATAAATGAATTTAATTTTTTTCGCAAGAAGTAAGCAAGATAGACAAAAGAGTCAAGAGACAAAAAAATAATATTTTTAATTACTAAATCCAAAAATAATATTAAACTTCTAAAAAAGCAGTGGTGTGCCTATTTTTTTCTTTAAAATAATTTAACAGTGACAATAATTTAACAGGCCGCCCCTGGCCATTAAACTTAAATCTAATTACATCACACACACAAATTAAGTCCCATAGTAAGTATTATAAACGGGTCAAGTTATATCAAAATTGATTAAATAGTTTTTCAAATATCTTAATTTTTTTTTCTTTTTTCAGTAACTTTAACACGTTAAGTTCTATCGTCTATTAAATTTTCCCGATTAAAATCTGAGACACCCTGTATTTTCTATATTGCAAATGTTGCTTTATGTGCAAATAACTTTATTACCATCACATTTACTGGTCTTATTACAATTTGAGCCGGACTACACCCCCTAAAAAAGCTTACCGCCTTCCTACAGTACTTCATGTTTTTAGAATACTTATTATCTCTAGTACGCCAGAAATATCAATATAGAAGTCAAAATAATTCTTTTTATTCCACCAAAACTATCGAAAAGCAGTAAAAATAGGTAGAGGTGTCTCACCCCAAAATGATGGGTGAGGAGTTCCTATTTCGATTCAAGAGGTAATTTTACATAATAATTAACCAGAATTTATCAGGACCGATTTTCATGCAGAAATTAAAAGCCATTGAGTTAATTCACAAAAATAAATTAGTAAATTATGAGGAACATGAATGAAATATGATACAATAAAATTATATTAAAAACTCTTATCTGATGTTAAACAAGAATAGTGTAAATTTTTAGCACGCGTCATTTTTCATTAATGATAACAAACGTATCTTGATATCAGCCTATTCTCTGTACGGTTCTTTTTTTTTCAGATATGTACATTATCAGTACTATCTAACTTATACCACCGCTTATACTCACATCAAGGATCCTTTTGTTTCAGACATTTATACATTATTAGTACTGAGTTCAAACTCATCAGAAGTTTTCGATAAAATACAGCTTTCATTTTTGAAGTTAAAGTTATATTTTTTTTCCAAATTATTGAAGATATTTTATGTAAGTACCATTATTATTTTATATTACTGATTAATAAAAATAGTTAAAATAATCACATCCTGAAATTGTAGATGTAATAGTCATTTTTACAAGCTTTTGGTTAACTTGCAATGTTCCTATAGATATAGAAGTTCTCTGTTTTAAAATTTGCAAACTGTTTCTGATCTATTTTTATTAAACTGATTTTTTTGAGCACTATGATCATTTCAACTATTCAAAAACCCACTTTCTAGGGAAAAATAATTAAAATTTAGGTATATTTTGAGTTTACAAATGTCATTTTCTGACATTTAACTATGGGGGCAACAATAGTATATTGTTTTATTATGAGTAAAAATAATACTTTCCGTGGCGAGGCTGTACGTTTAACATTACAGGCGAGGCAAAAAAAGTTTTTACTCCGAATAGAACATGCTATTTTTTATCAAACTACACAAATCATTTCAAACAGCAAAATAAAATTTCACCAAAATACTTTAGCTGTTTTATTTTGTTGTTGTAACACCAAAGGATTCCAACCCCCAACTGTAATCAATTTCCCCAAATGTTGCAAATAACAAAAAAGAATTAAAAATAATTCCTTGTAAGAAACTGTATTATTACAGTTGGGGGTTAGAACCTTTTGTGTTACAACAGCAAAATAAAACACTAAATCACCACAATACACCAAAACACTAAACACATTTACACGGAACGCTCGTTTCGCTACCATGTTAGAATCATCAGCAGATGATTAAATTTAGTTTTAATAATAATAATAATAATATTTATTGTTCCAAAGAAAAAAACACTTTACAGTAACAATCGTAAAATCATCTGCAGGAGCAAAAGTTGTGTACAGATGGTCTACATCATTCACATATGTTTCAACAATTCTAAATATTAAATTAATTTATATAATAATCATATTCAAATATCCTAATCACTAAAACATTTACTATAGACAACAAAACAGCCTATTAAAATAGCCTATTATTATACTCAAACCCTAATAATAATTTTATATAAAAAAACCCTATAATATATACTTTACAAAATATTTCTATACATTTTTTCAAATCAACACAGTAACACAATAAACAATGAACCAGACCAAACATTTAGTTATGAACATTCACGAGTCTATCAATTGTTTCTCTATTGGATTCTAGCAGAAACAATTTTAGATGCTTTTTGAATAGAGCTCTGGAATTCGAAGTTATTAGAATATTTTTTAAATCCTTGGGTAAAAAATTATATGCTCTCGACAGAAGATACCAAGAACTCCTTTGACCAATCGTCTTATTTGATCTAGTTGTTTTTATTGAAAAATATGCTTTAAATCGCGTATTATGATTATGTTCTAAATTATTGATGAGATCTTTATTATGAAACAATAAGGTCATAAGGTTATAGAAATATATCTGTCGAATATCCAATATTTTTAGTTCATTGAACAACATATCAGTAGAGAATCTAATAGGTTTCCTATAAATTATTTTTAATATTCTTTTTTGGGCAATTTGTAGTTTTCTTATGAATACATCAGTCACCCCACCCCATCCAATTATACCATAATGTAATCGAGCTTCAATCAACGAATAATAAATTATTTTTAAATGTTGAAATTTTGAATTTATAAAACATGGATCTTATTGTATTAGCTATGGTTTCTATATGATAATTCCACTTCAAATGCTCATCTATTACTATGCCCAGATATTTAATTTTTGGTGCTGACTGGATATTGATAATAACATTATTGTACGTCATTGTAAGTGTCCTGAAATTTGGCAGACGTTTACTGTATGAACAGAATGACAAAAATTTAGTCTTTTCATAGTTAATTGTGAGCTTTTTATTGGTTAACCAGTTAACAATTTTTTTCAATTCAGTTTCTGCCTTTTTATGTAGTTTGTTCCAGTCCGTATCAGAAAAGAAAACCGCAGTATCGTCTGCAAAACTTATGACACTACCATCAACACCACAGGTTACCGGTAATTGTTCACTGCTTCAATCACCAATCTGAACTATTTGAGTTCGCTTATCAAGGTAGCTCTTAAATAAATTTAGTGGAATACCTCTAATCCCGATTCTTTCCAAAGTTTCTAAAAGCAGCGAATGGTTTACTGTGTCAAAAGCCTTCGACAAATCCAGGAAAACACTAAGTGCAGGTTTCCTTTCATCAACTGACTGGTATATCTGTTTTGTTAGACAATGTATTGCATCCTGTGTGCTTTTGTTATTTTGGAATCCAAATTGTCTATTGCTTATTATATTAAATTTCTCCAAATATTTTACCAATCTATCCTTAATGATCTTTTCACATATTTTAGTGAACACAGTTATTAAAGATATGGGACGATAATTTTCTAATTGGTATTTATCCCCGCTCTTATATATTGGTGTTATCAGTGCCAATTTAAACTCTTGAGGAGTAATCCCACTTGAAAAACAACAATTAACCACATGCGCAAAAGGCTCCGAAATGAGGTGTATCATGGATTTTAAAGAGTTTTACATGTGATATGATCATACCCTGGTGCCTTTTCTGTTTTAAAGGTTTTAACAATTTGTCCAATCTCCAATTTATTAGTTGGATTTAAAAAGAAGGTATGCGATTTTGATAAATGTTCAATAATAGGAAGCTCAGATTTAGAAATTTTTCCCGATAATTCTGTACCTATGGTGGAGAAATATTGATTAAAACTATTTGCTATGTCTTTGCTATTATTCATTAGTTTACCAAATTTATTTCTAATTTCAAAAATATGTGATTTCTTTTTAGCTTCGGTTATTGACTTTACGGTATTCCATAAATTTTTGGCACTAGTTTTATTTTTATTTATTAATGACTGAAAATATTCTATCTTAGCTTGTTTTATTACTTTTCCTAATTTATTTTTATATGTGTTATACTCATCTTAGAAAAGCTCAGGATTTCTTTCAAATTTTTTGTAAAGTTGTTCCTTTTTTCTGATCGAAATTATAATTCCTTTAGATATCCAGTTTTTTCGTGGTATATTATTTTTATTGATTTTATTTATTACAGTATTTTTATTAATATAACCTGAAATAGTACTAAGAAAGTCAGTCGATATAACTTGTGGATTAATCAGTTTTAATCATCTATGGTTATATTTGTTCTGCCTAGTTTCTTGGTATATTCTTATTCTTGGCTGCTTAGGCGTAAAAGTGCTTTACTACTTTTATACCTAGGTGTTAAAATGGCTTTTTTACACATCACATCGTAAAAATTAGTTTTAATCATCTGCTGATGATTCTAACATGGCTAGTGAAACTCGCGTCCAGTGTAAAAGTAAAAGAGTTTTGGTGTATTGTGGTGATTTAGTGTTTTAAGAAATTATATATCGAGAAACAATGATTACATTCGTGAATTTGTCACTTTATGTCACAATATGTCGTTAATAATATATTTTCGTACTTTCGTGCCGAGGTCTGCTTAGTTTCTTGGTATATTCTTTGCTGCTTAGGCGTAAAAGTGCTTTAATATAATTAATTAATACATAATACTTTTGTGACGTTTGAAAAAAATATATTATTTTAATTCAACTATCTACAATCCCTACTAGGGGATCTCATTTTTATTGAATATCTTGGTAACAATCAGAGAAATTAGTTTGGGATTGTCGACATTTGAATTTGACACACCGCTAAACAAATATCAGGAGATACATAAAAAAATAATTTTTAAGGTAAAATTACTCAGCTATATCGGACTTATTTGAAATACTGTAAAAAGAAAATACTATGTTCCTTTTTCGAGATATACCGGCACTGAAAATATGTGCACTTATTTAAGACTCACTCTGTATTAATATACATTAATGTTCGCGTATATATTTTATATAGAGAGGTACTGTGGCAAGTTAAAGTAAACTTTTTTTTCTAAATCACAGATTTCAAAATTTATTTTTAACCACAGATTAGATATTGCGAACAACAAACATTTCTTATTACCTGTTTATTTTCTAAATGTACCATGATAAGGCGACCCCTCCTAGTATTATTAAATTAATATACGACCCAAAGTTTACAATTTGATTTGATATACACCAGTATGACAAATTTACAGTCATTTATAAATAATGTTGATAAAAATAACTTTATTTAACCTATTTGTAAAATAATAAAATTTATTTAGTTTATATTTAGGCATAACTATTGTTGTAGGCTGACTGGGACTTATTAGACTTGTAGCACTCCACAGAATGTATGGGTGGGGGGTTAATCATTGCAACTCTACAGATCTATTGTGTCTATCTTGAGTTATAATGTGTTATAACTCATTATACAGTTTCAGGGCTTTGACAAAAGCCAGTATCTGAGACGGTTTTACAGAGGTTAGTTCTCCATCTCCGATATCAGGCGTACCAAACTTCATGGCATGAACGTTTGTCGTCTCAGCGCACTCAGTGATCAGATGTTTCCTCATGTTCCCCACAGAATCTGCATTCGCCGTTGTTTCTCAGCTTCAATCTACTGAGGTGTTCGTTGAGGAGACAATGTATTGTTAAAAAACCCCGTGACAATCCGAATTCAGTCGAACCTTAGTGCTTTAACATATACAGGGTGGCGCACCTCGTTCGCCACGGTTGATTATACGAAAACGGAAAGATGTAGAAACAAAATATTTTATGGGTATATGTGGGGAGGAAATGTGCACAATTTAAAATTATTTTGAAACATACAGGTTGTCTCAGAACTAAGATTCATACCAAAGTTATATTTTTTCTTATGGAACACCCGATATTTTATTTAATTTTTGGATTCTTGGGCCCAAAAAAAGGCATTTATTACAAGGGTTTAATATGTTTAAACCCTTTGGTTTTTGAGATATTTAAAGATATTTAAATATGCACGCTACAAATGAATTGATTATTAACACCCTGTACATTACTTTTCAGAATTAATTATTGTGCTGAGTTTAAAGGCAAAGGAATAAACTTTACTGAAAAATGTCATTGCTTCCTTAAATTTATACAGGGGTACAAAAAAAT